AGTTTTTTTATAGATTATCTATGAGTTCTAGCTCCGAGAGTTCTTCTAGTGAGAGTGAGCAATCAAGCTCTAATAGTTCTAGTTCAGATGAGACTCATGCCACACTTAAGATAAGAGTCATACCCGATCCACCGGCATCATGGCATCCACTAGGCAGTCTTCCTACCACATCACGTAGCGATAGTACATCTCATGGCTCAGTTTCAGCTAGTATGTATAACTATTTTTAGATTTTACTGAACTATTTTATTTTTTTATTTTATCAAATTGATTGGGATTTATTCCTCTATGAATAGTATGATTCTTCCCTTTAATTGATTGCTCATCAGTGGTTCAGTTGTGATGTTGCTACTGGTATTGTATCAGGGGGAGTTGGTACCGTTACTGATGACATTATTGCAATTTAATTATGCAACAATTATATGTAACACATGCACATGCACATTTACATTTTCTTGCTGTTGCAATAGTATATATATATTTTTATATTTAATCAATTCTTTGGCCCCGTTTTTGTTTTTTTATAGGTCCTAGCTCAAGTCAAGCCACACAAAAGCAGACAAGGGGTCCCACATATGTGCATGGTCAATGGGGTACTTCAAACGATGGTGTTTTAAAACTTGTTTCAAATGAGTTGAATCAAGTAGTTGAAGGATATACACCTCTTGCTTCACATTTGGGTGTTTTGGCACGAGATGGGAGTCTTACACCACTCATTTTTACGACTTGGCATTATGTCCCACAGCAAAATAAAGATAACATATGGAGGGAGATAAAGGTAATACAGATATTTAATATGAAATAAGTTGAAATGCATATTACAATTAGATTCCATATGAAATGCATATTACAAGTGTAGTTGACATTGCATATTACAAGTGTGTATAATTGTAATGCAGGCTCATACAAATGCAGATGATTCCATGAAGAGAACAATAATGACTTCATTTGGGAAGAAATGGAGAGATTGGAAAAGTCGCGTGAAAAATATGGGATACACACCCTCCAAGAATGATGCAGAAAGGTTGGCTCATCGGCCGGATAGAGTACATGAGGATCAGTGGCGGGCTTTGATCTACTATTGGGGCACTCAGAGTGCATCGGTACAATTTTATTTATGTGAAAAAATGTTTATATATGATAATTTTTGATAATATCTCAAATGAATTTCATATTTAACAGAAATCAAGTAAGAAGCATAGAAAAATCCGGAAGAAGAAGACACTACATCATAGAACAGGCCGAAAACCTTTCTCGGTAGTTCGAGCGGAGGTATAATTAGACATTACATCTTGGACATATTTTGAAATTCGTTAAATTTTTAAGTTAAACAACTTATAACTTAGCTAGCTCAACTTATAACTAAACTAAATCAAGTTTAATATGTATAAGATTGAAAATTGAAATTTATTATCTTTAAAATTCATCTTCTCATCTTTGTCTTACATGTTTTGTTCAGGAGACAAAAAAGAACAATGGGGTTCCTGCTAGTCGGCCACAAGTGTGGATGGCCGCATACATGAAAGATGGTACTTCCAATAGTGATTCAGTTAATGAAGTTATGGTATGTGATACTACTTTATTGGACTTTTAATATGATTTATATTGGATGCTAATTATTGAATTCAAAATTGCAAACTCAAATGAATGAGCTAACGGAGCACATGGAGGGATCTTCTCTGGACCCTGCTGCATTAAATGAACAGATTTTCACACAAGTTATGGGGCCGGAGCGACCTGGTCGTGTTCGGACTTTTGGATTGGGTCCATCCCCTATCAATGTTTTTGGAGGTAGATATAGGCAGTCACAAGAGCAGAATCATATCTTCCAAACTCGAGTTCAAGAACAAGTTGAAGAGCAACTTCAACGGTATCAAATGCAGTTAGAGTCGAAGATGAATGACGTAATGGAGAAACAAATTCAAGCTATACGCGCAGATTTTCAGTCACGAATTGAGATTTTGGAATCTCAATTGCAAGCTGCGGGCGTGCCCATTGCACCAGCTGTTGCACCCTCGAACCCATTACATAGGCAGCAGGTATTTTCATTGTTTTTACTAGTTATTACTTTAAATTTCCTAGAGCTACTATACAACTTAAGCCTCTTATTGAATGATAGGTTGTTGATTCACTTAGTAGCCATCCCACTGTTCGGCCAATGTCACATCAACAACAATCTCATACATTTTCATCCCAAGAGGTGAGCAATCATTTAATCAAAGTTTTTTTGACAATACAATATCTTATTAATTAAAATACTTGTTCTGATTAAATATAGGTTCACCTTTCAAAGAAAGAGAAGAAGAAGAAGAACTAACAAGGTAAAAGTACTAACATCACTAGTTTTCTAATAATCTACAAATAATTAACTCAATTGTGACATTCCCTTTAATTATGCGAAAAGTAATTTTCGCTGAAATGGATTAAGTGTAAGGTTGAAATTTGTATGTTGGGGACTGTTGCTCATGGTTTGGTTAGACGCCTAGTGTGGAGTTCTGCTAGATGTTGATTATGTGACACTGGAACTTTGTCTTCATGTTTCTTGGTGAATTGGGTTTTGTCATGTGGTGACACCTCCATAGCCAATCATACTTACTGTTTTGTTTGACCCCCAGATGCCTTTCTGATGTTGTTGGGATATTCCTATTGCTTTGGCATTACAAAGGTTTGCTTACTGATTTTTTGCCGCTGCTGAATTTTGCTGATGTTTTGCTGTCCTGAAAGGTTTTACTTTTGGTTTTGGCAAGTTGAGTGTTGAATTTTGCTGATGTTCTATGCATACAATGAACCATTTCTCATTTTTTTTAGAATGTGTCTGAATATAGTTGAAGTCAGATAGTACTTGCTGAGATTCTTTGAGATGGATGGACAATGTGAAAGCTGTATATTAATTATATTTATGGGGATAGTGACTAATGGAACAACATTATTTTTTGAAGTCATTATTTTTTTTCCATCTCCTCAATTGCTTGTTTTATTACATGAATATGGGCAAGTGGATCAGCGTGTTGAATACATGATTTTTATTTCTTCATCATCATTTGTTTTCTGAAGACATTATTTTTCTCAAATCTATCCCTCATTGGGGGTTCCTGATGATTGGGGGTGGCATTATATGGATATAGGCATTATTTTGTTTTTGGTTATTTCCTTGCATCAGCCAATTCAACTTACTCCTTGGTTCTTGCAGATGATGGTAGGGAAGACCTTATACGTCTATTTGAAGGTTCACAGGTAGGTCTGAAAAAAAGCCTTATGAATAGATGGTCGTGTCTACTTCTATTTTACTTTGGTGTTTTTAACCTATTTGTTAATATTTCATTACAGGAAGCTATAAAAAAGGCCCAAGAAGAGGCTTCTGAGCATGTGAGATGTCTGGAAGAAGACTTGGGAAAGTTGAGGTATATTTGATTTGTTTGAATTTCTTTTTTTTCTTCTTCATTTGCTACTTTCTACTGTAAGCTTAGAAGCTTGCACTGTTGAAAGAACTTGGTGATCTGTTTTGTGAATTTTAACTTGGATTGTACACCTTCTTCTTCTTAAAATGTTTTATACTTTATTATATATCAATATTGGTGGGTCCCCATGCTTAGTAGAAATTGGAGCCACTTTATGTTTTTGAAAATGGATCCATGGACAATTTGTCCGCTAAAGAGGGTGATTTGTTGTTTCAAATAATTAAGACTATAAATTAGCTAAAAGGCTTTGTATGTTGGCTATAACACAGGTAGCTAATACATATAAATCTCAATGAGACACCATATTGTTGTGTTATATGAAGATTATACAGGTTGAAGAAAGTAAACATGCATCCCATGGTGCATGCATTTTATACATTTTAATTCTTTCAAAATTGTATATAACGGACATGATGTTCACAGAAATATTGTGCAAGATTAACAAATTGATCATGAAATTCAGTGTTTAGTCAAAGAGATGAGTTCATCTACATCAACAATCCTAAAAGTGTACTTCTATCTCTAGTGTCTGATGTTTAGATATGTTGTTTTCATTTCCATGCAGTACAAGTTTTTTGTTGATGGAGAATGGCGGCATGATGAGCACCAACCATTTGTAAGTGGAAATTATGGGATGGTGAACACTGTCTTCTTAGCTAGGAAGCCTGATGTGATTCCTGCAATTTATACTCCAGAGACACCTGGTAGATCTAGTATGGATGTAGATAATGATCCATTTTTTCATTTTTTGGAAGCAAATTATCTTACAAAAGCTTTTGTAATACAAGTTGGTCTAGTTGATAAGAACAAGGTTGTGTGTGACTTTTGGCTGGTGTTGATTTTTGCTGCCATAGGACTGCTAATTTTTTGGTTGAGAATTGTGAATTTAATTTTTGAATATGTTATTTTGTGGGTAATGATGATTGGATATTAAATTGAATAGGAAAGTGAATTAATGCTGCATTTATTATTTGAATGGGAGTTATTATTTCATATTAAGGCTATTCAATTTTATTATAGGTATTTTTTTAGTTTAATCACATAAAATTAGCACAATTTCAAAAAAAAAAAAAACAAGAGGATTTCACGGCGTTTTTAAAACGCCACCTAAACTCCAAAAAAGTTAACAGTAAATTTCTTTTAAAAAGATATGACGGCGTTCTGAAAATGTCGCTAAAATCATAGTGACGTCATGGTAGGGACATTTCGCACGCCGCCTATTCAAATATCGCGACGTTTTTAAAACGTCGTAAAGATACAGTGACGGTCGCAGCTTCGACGTTTGGTACTAAACGTCGCAAAAGGAATTAGCGGCGTTTTTTTATAGATATAGCGGCGTTTCTTAAACGCCACTAAAAGTCTGTTTTCCAGCAGTGCCAACACCAGTGCTAACTCACTTTTTTTTTTCCATCCAGTCAGTTTCCCAACTAGAGAGAAGATGTTCCTATTCTAAAATCGGACCAATTGCATTCCTAAACGCCCTTACATTGGATGTGAGTTTACATATGATTTTTTATTTTTCCTTCCTTTTTCAAATCAGAGAAATTTAAAAGTAGCTGTGAGAGTTTCCTAAGCTACAAGTTTCTTAGTGAAATTTCACACAATTGTGAGAGATGCTCTCAAAGCTTCTCTCACTGAACCGGAACCAACGACAACACTGCATATATAGATCACATAATTAATTACAGATACACATATTTGCATGCGGGGCCCACAATTTTAAGGGATTTGGGGGAAGATGTATCTTGTATTTAGCCAATTGAAGCAACTCCTCTCCAATATGCCATGGATGCTACACAGTTTCCTCTTTGGTTTCTGATTTTTGTTCAATTGATGGTTTGATTTTTCCTTCTTTGTGCTTCCCCCACAAAACTCCATAGAGCCCACAAACTAGAAGTATAAATCCACCAACACTGCCACAATAAATCACAAAAAACAAGACCCTATGAGTTTGGATCTTATAAAGTCAAGATGGTGATAGCAAATTATCAATACTTTAATTTGAGTTGTAGTTTTAATTTGAACAATTTAAACTTTATACTTTTAATTTGTGGTAATATGGTGCCTCCATTATTTACTATTAAAATTTTGAACGAAAAAAATCACGTGCAAAATTAGAAGGATTAAAGTGGAATTCAAAAGAAATTATAGGGACCACTAATTCCACTAGTGATTCCTATAGTTTCTGTTTAAATTATACTTTGGTCCCTCTAGTTTTGCATGCGTTATTTTTCCATCCAAAATATTAACGACGCATGACAGAATAATAACATTTTGTGTTGCTGGGCTGTAAAGTTGTTAATTTTTTATTTTGAATTTTAAAATTCTATCTTTTTTATTGCCCACGGCCATTTTTAATGAAATTTGTATTTTTAAAATCTATTTATTGAGATCTATCGAACAAAATTAATAGTTGTGGGGAGGTAGTTTTGAAATACTCCTTCAATCCAAACATGCCCTTGTAGGATCTTCCTAACTGTCTCCTAAAACAGAAATATAAAACTCTAGTTGGTGGTGTCGGAATTAGCTTTCCAACGAGCACGTTAGCCTCTGTAGAAAGATTAGTGTTTTTTGGTTTTCTTAAGGTACCAATTTTTTTGCATATACCTCATCCTTCAGCCTCCCTCCTTTTATAGAGTCATTTTTCTTGATATTTTCTCAATGTAGCTTAGCCTTTCATTATCATTCTGTCAGGGCCCATCTTCCTACTATACTTTTTAGAAAGGAAAAGCCTGAATTCGCCTGACATGGTCTACTTGACTCATCTGATATACTCGGCTTAGTCGTGTGACCTAGGTACCCTTTATTCCACGTACTCCTTATCCTGCTTTTGTGCCTATTCGGTTATGACCCAAAGCCTAGTGGGCATTGGCTTCATTCGGCCTATCTGGGATGGGCTTAGATGTACTCTGTTTGACATTTTAGATATATCTCTTTTTGGCTCCCACAATAATGAGCATGAAATTATGTATAAAAAAAAAAAGCTGAAAATTTTCACCATTTTTGTGTTTGAGTAATTGAGAAATTTCTCAATTAATGATAAAATTTCTTAATTAATATCAATGGAAATTTCTCAATTTTCTACAATGAAAATTTTCTCTTTTTTTTTCAAAATTTATTTAAAATATATATTATGTTTGATAGCTCTCCTTGAATAGGTTCCAAAAATATAAATTTTTATCAAAAACAAATGTAAATAATTTCAAATTTCTTAATTAAAAATATAAAGTTTTAAATGGAAAAAGAAAAAAATTACAATTCAGCGTATGTCTTCCAAATAATTTCAAATTAGTGGAAATATACAAAATTTAATAATCATAATTATATATATATTTTTTTCATAAATTTGTAAATTTTTGTGAGGACACCACTAATTTGTAATTTTTGTTGCAAAAATATAATGCATATTTCATGTTTTTAATATCACAAGGATATATCGGTCAAGTAGTGATGCGGGGAATTCGTCATGGGTTAAGTAGAACTAGCCTATCACCCGTGCTATGCGTGAGATAATTTTAGATATTTGTATTTATTTTAGATTTTTTTTAATATATAAATTATGTTTTTTAAGACTTTTTATAAAAATAATTTAACAATCTTATCACTAACCATAGTGTATGGGAGAAGTTGAAAAGGGTACTGCAGTAATTATACACGGATTGTATCTACAATTATTTGTATGAGGTGATTTTAAATGCTGATCAGGAGTTTTTGACCAAATCAATAAATGCAGGCATGTGGAAAGACATGTGGATTGAAAAAAGTTAATAAATGCTGATCAGGGAATTTTGACCAAATTAATAAATGCTGAGTTTTTTTTTAAATAAAAAAATTAAAAAATTCAGATTGAGATATTGAAGCTCCCACAGGCCTTGGAGTTAAAAAACCCCCTTTTGCTTAATATATAGTACTAACATATCACCCGTGATATGCACGGATTGTGTTTACAATTATCTATATATGTGAATTGTGATTTTTAAATATCTTTTTTTTTTTTAAATGCCTTCTTTTTTTTTCCTTTTTTATATTATATTAAAGTTTAATATTTTGATAATAATCATATGTGTTAGACTTTTCAAGGAATTAAATGTCTTTTTTATTATTATATTATATTAAAGTTTAATATTTTGATAATAATCATATGTGTTAGACTTTTCAAGGAATTAAATGTCTTTTTTATTATTATATTATATTAAAGTTTAATATTTTGATAATAATCATATGTGTTAGACTTTTCAAGGAATTAAATGTCTTTTTTATTATTATATTATATTAAAGTTTAATATTTTGATAATAATCATATGTGTTAGACTTTTCAAGGAATTAAATGTCTTTTTTATTATTATATTATATTAAAGTTTAATATTTTGATAATAATCATATGTGTTAGACTTTTCAAGGAATTAAATGTCTTTTTTATTATTATATTATATTAAAGTTTAATATTTTGATAATAATCATATGTGTTAGACTTTTCAAGGAATTAAATGTCTTTTTTATTATTATATTATATTAAAGTTTAATATTTTGATAATAATCATATGTGTTAGACTTTTCAAGGAATTAAATGTCTTTTTTATTATTATATTATATTAAAGTTTAATATTTTGATAATAATCATATGTGTTAGACTTTTCAAGGAATTAAATGTCTTTTTTATTATTATATTATATTAAAGTTTAATATTTTGATAATAATCATATGTGTTAGACTTTTCAAGGAATTAAATGTCTTTTTTATTATTATATTATATTAAAGTTTAATATTTTGATAATAATCATATGTGTTAGACTTTTCAAGGAATTAAATGTCTTTTTTATTATTATATTATATTAAAGTTTAATATTTTGATAATAATCATATGTGTTAGACTTTTCAAGGAATTAAATGTCTTTTTTATTATTATATTATATTAAAGTTTAATATTTTGATAATAATCATATGTGTTAGACTTTTCAAGGAATTAAATGTCTTTTTTATTATTATATTATATTAAAGTTTAATATTTTGATAATAATCATATGTGTTGGATTTTTTCTTTAATTAAATGCCTTCTTTTTTTTTATTATATTATATTAAAGTTTAATATTTTGATAATAATCATGTGTTGGACTTTTCAAGAAAATTTTTCATACTTGTTCTTAATGCATTAAAGTGTTATTACGAGAGATAATAATCATATGTGTTGGAACTTTTCAAGGAATTCATATGTGTTGGATTTCAAAGAATTTTTTTTATACTTGTTCTTAATGCATTAAAGTGTTATTATGAGGGTAAGACTTGGGGGTTGAGAGAAGTTAATAAATGCTAAGATTTTTTTTTTTTTAAATCAAAATATCAAGAAATTTAGATTGGGAGATTAGAGCTCCCACACGGCTTGAGGTTAAAAATCCCATTTTGCTTAATATATAGAATAGATTGGAGCTCCCACAAGGCTTGGGGTTTAGAAATCCCCTTTTTCTTAATATATTTACAATTATCTATACATGTGAATTGCGATTTTTAAATGTCTTTTTTTTTTTATTTTTTTTAAATGTATTCTTTTTTTCCTTTTTTATATTATATTAAAGTTTAATATTTTGATAATAATCATATGTGTTGGACTTTTCAAGAAAATTTTTTATACTTGTTCTTAATGCATTAAAGTGTTATTATGAGAGATAATAATCATATGTGTTGGGACTTTTCAAGGAATTCATACGTGTTGGATTTCAAAGAATTTTTTTTATACTTGTTCGTAATGCATTAAAGTGTTATTATGAAGGTAAGACGTGGGAGAAGTTAATAAATGCTATGGTTTTTTTTTTTTTTTAAATCAAAAAATCAAGAAATTTAGATTGGGAAATTAGAGCTCCTACATGGCTTGGGGTTAAAAACCCCCTTTTGCTTAATATATAGAATAGATATTATTATAGAAAAATGATTTTTCTTTAGATTGGGAGATTGGAGCTCCTACATGGCTTGGGGTTAAAAACCCCATTTTGCTTAATATATAGAATAGATATTATTATAGAAAAATGATTTTTCTTTTTTTCTTTTTTTTTAAGAATGTGTGTTAATATCTTGCCATATTTTAAGTTGTAAAATTAATTGCAAAGGTTTTTAGTATAAGATTTCTAATATTAGGATTTTATAAGATAAAAAGAGATGTAATATTTTTTAAAATAGTTAAGATTTCTCAACATTTTCACATCTAGCTTTTTATAGAGAAATTTCCCAGCTCTTCATAAAGAAATTTCTTTTTGAATTTCTCCAACCCTTCAAAGAGAAGTTTTAAATTTATTTGTGACAAGTTGAAATTTCTCTAATAATATTATTAAGAGACCTTAACTAATAAGAAAAAAATATATTAGACCTCTCTTACTATCCAAAATTGGAAATGAATGTTACACTAATTTTTCTTTACACTCACCTTTCTTCAAGTTTGAAAAAAATACAATTAATTTCACACTTTTGATATGATTACACTGATCTCCCTTTAGTATGTTAAAACGACTGAAAGTAATGCAGATGGTGAAACTAATATAGATAGTGAATAGACACTATAATAAACAAAAATAAATATATATATTTAATTTAAAATAGATAATAATATATTTTTTTTATTCACACGAGTAACGAATTACTAATGAAAAATAATGCAACTGTTATGTGAATAAAAATTTCAAAGGAGATCAGTGTACCTATATTAAAAGTGTGGACTAACTATATTTTTTTTTTAAACTTTAAAAGAAATAAGTGTAATTTATCCATATTTTAATATACCTTTTACATAAACCTCATAATATAACTATAGTGGATCTTAATTAAAAAGTTGAGAGCATGTAAATATGGACCTTCCCCAATGGAGTATCTCCTTCCATATTAATACTGAGAAGATGGCTGTGCATATAAAAGAAACTGGAGTAAATGCTGCTGCAAAGACGGGTCCCCTCCTTTGTATTACCCAAATTCTCATCCAGTAACTCACCCCATTGAACATTATACCCTGCCATTTTTATCCACAATCAATTTGTTTTTTTTTTTTATAAAAATGACAAGATTAAAATGACACACAAAGTAATAATAGGCTTATAAATTTTTTTACTCAATAGACCTTTGGTATTTAAAATGGAACCCACTAGAATAATATAATCATCAATGCTACAGAATGGGGAAAAAAAAGAAAAAAAAAGAAAAAAAAAAAAGTTGTTTGAAAAGTAAGGTCTCGTTTGGCAATATCACTTTTAGTTTAAAAGTCAAAAAATCACTAAAAAAAATAAAAAAACTAACAACTTATATCAAAAAGTCAAAATTTTCATTTTTTTTCTATTTTTTACACATCTTTTCATAAAAAACTAACGAGTCATACTAAATATACTAGTTTTTTTTTATTATATTTTAGCCAAAAAATTAAAAAAATTAGTAAAAAAATCTGTTTCTAAACAAGGCCTAATTAGAAAATAAAGAATGTGAACCATTGAAAAAAGAACTTTTTAAATGCCTGCCTCCCAAGTTATAATGATATGAATCACATAAAGAAGCACAGCAATTTGTGTGTTTAGCAAATAGAATATTGTTTGCGAACTCTAGTTTGAGAGCTCTAATGTAACTTTAATGATGTGTCTCTTTTCCATCTCACTAGAGCTCCATTTAGAGCTCTAGTACTAGAGTTATGTATCATTACTGTTCTAGGTGATCCACATTATTTTAAATTTAAGGGTAAATTATAAATACACCAATTGAGATTTGCTTAAAATACGAATTGTCTCATGTGGTTTGAAAAATTACAAATATCCCTTGTCAGAATTTTTTATTTAACAGAATTAATTAAAAAAATGAAATTTCTGACTGTTTACCTATATAATAATAAAATTATCTAAATTATTAATTGAAATAAAATTTTAACATTGTTAAAAACTGTTAATTAATTTAATAATTTATTAATAAAATGACTTAGAATCACATGGAATAATTTATATTTAAGTAAATCTTAGAGGGTGTGTTTGTAATTTATCCTAAATTTAAGTATGCTACATACACTTTATTTTCTGACCATTTTTCATGTTAACTTTTTTTTTTTAATTATTATTCCACAACTTTTTTTCTTAATAGATCAGAGGAATAACTCATGTGAGAACATAACAAAAAAGATAAATTTTTTAAATTTGTATAACATTGTTCGATTCATTACGCGCGTGCACATTCCCAAGTAGGTATCAAGAAACGTGTGCATCTCTACACATGACACTGTCATGCCTGGCTACGATGGACTATGTATCACAAAATAAATTTCACTGATTCTAATTTACGTTCTCTCTCCGTCTCAAAATAATTTTGAAAATTTTAATTTTTTTTGATAGTACAATTATTGTATTTTAAAAAAATTAAATTTTCAAAATTATCTTTTAATAATACATTTTTTTGAAGAATATCAATTATCACAATTGTACTTTTTGTATTATTAATTAATTTAAAAGAAAGGCAAAATAAAAAATTCATATTATTTTAGTTCTTGATTTTTGAAAAGAGACTAATATTTTGTAGCAACAAAAAATAGAATAAAGAACTAATATTTTAGGACGGAAGGAGTAACAAATATCATATGTATATATGTAAAATTTATTAAAATATCAACAATGATTCATCCCCCCTTTTCCTCCCACCCCCTTTGACCCCCTCTCTCTCTCATTGGTTACATTTTTTTTTTCTTTTTCTTTTTTTTCCTGCTCCTCCAATCACCACCCGCCACGTAGCAAAGGGGATGAGGGGGTGACCCCCAAAAGGGGGTCCCAAGCATTATTCTTAAAATATATAGCCTCTATTTGGGAAGTGGGTTGGCTTTTTGACTTTTTGGCTTTTTTAGCTATTTTAGCCTGGGCTAAAGAGCTTGGTTTAAGAAAAACTTTTTGGTTTTTTTTAACTTTTTTTGTGAGAGAAGAGTGTAATGATTATAGGTTGGATGTGATGTTTTGTTTGTTGTGGTTAAAATAGCCTATTTTGTCTTTTGTGAATAAAGTAGTCCCAAACCTCCTTGTCAAACGGACTCATAATAATGGGTCCCATTATTTTTGAAAAATGTAAGTCAGTCCCCTTGTAAAAAGATTTTTGACCATTGAGTGCAAAAAAATGGAGGAAGAATCTTACGCAATAGGCCACAGCAAGAAGATTAAAATCCCATCTTAGTTTCCATGCTGATATGTTTCTGTCAACTGCAACAGCCCACACTAGCGTTTGTATGCAGCTAAAAAAGCATTGTAGAGCTGTAAGTCGTAGTTTATTTGGATATATCTTGAGCATTAGGCCCTAATAACAAGAACAAAAGGTGTTAAAAGACAATCAATTCATTTGCACACAAAAATAAATAAAACACATAATAAATTTGAGTTACAGATTGATTTTTTCTGTGCATTTTCTTTGCAAATATTGCCTTAATTTATTCATTTGAGAGAGAGAATGGGTTGAGGATCATCTGTCCCAAATTTCTCGTCTACCTATCTCAATTCACCCACATTTCCTTGATCATGTCTTGAGATTTTTGTATCTCGATATTTTCACATGATTCAATGATTATGAGTGTTTTGAGACAGAGAAATAGGAATGTCTTACAAATTCTCTGTCTATGTATCCTAGTTCATTTCATATGTTGAGATTCTTATATGATCCAACAATTATGAATAATTTGATATAGAGAGACAAAAAGTTGGCACATAATGAAAGGGAGAACAACTGAAATCTGTTTGATCATAACTAAAAACTCTTGTATCTTTGAATTTTTAAATGATCTAACAATTATGTGTAATTTGAGACAGAGAAACAGAGAGGTCCTAAACTTGTCCATCTATCTATCCCAATTCATTTATATATAGGGATGGCAATTTAAACCCGGCCCGACGGGGACCCGACCCCCCGATCCCGAAAACACGGTTTTTCCCCGAAAATTATCCCCATAGGGCTGGGGACGGTATTAAAATTTAAATCCCTGATAATTTTCGAGCCGGGGACGGGGATAGGTTTTCCGGCCCCGGCCCCGAATGAGCCCCGTACATCCCCCGTATATATTATATATAAAATATATTTCTAAATATCATTTTATTCTCTCCCTCTCACTGTTGAATCTTCATTCCACTCACTCATTCTCTCTCTCTACCAATCCTCTCTCTCTCCCTCCATCGCCGATCTTTGTCAGTCACCACTGTCTCCTCCACCGCCGATCTTCTTCACTACCGATCTCCTCTCTCTCAGTGTCTCTCTCTCTCTCGCTACCACCGTCGTCGTACACCACCGATACCGCTGCCACCGTCGTCACACATCACCGCATCTCGCTACCACCGTCGTCATACACCACCGATCCTGCTGCCACCGTTGTCGTACACCATTGCAGGGACGTGACTCACTGATCTCGCTCCCACCGTGGTTTTTTGAACAGATCTATGTTTTTTTTTTTTTTTTTAAAGTCTTGATCAATATATATATATATATATATATTCGGATCTGATTATATATAAAAGTCTTGATAAATATATAGATATATATATATTCTTTCTCCTCTCTCTCAGATCTGTTAGGGTTTTAACAGATCTGTTTTTTTGTAACAGATCTATGATTTTTTCTGATTTTGTTGTTATGGTTTTATCTTGATCAATTTATATATATATATATATATTCAGATCTCATTCTAAGAGAGTATAAGAACACAAGGTTCTAGTTCGCCGTACAAATTTGTGTGGAGTGCTACTACAAGTTTGTGAAGATCATTGTATCTTGGCAGATAGACGCAACTCAACCGTAAGCACCGTAGCGAGGCGAATCTGTCTAAAGGACAAAGTGTCACACACTCGACTTGGTCTTTAATTATTTATTCTGTTCAACAAAATAAATTTGTAAGTTTTATTTTATTTTGTTTGGATTATTTCAGTTTATTTTATTTATACAGAAGATTGTTCCAACAAAAATTGTGTCATATATCTCAAAATTTTTTTTTTTTTTTTTTTATATAATCTAACAATTATGAATAATTTAAAACGCAGAGAGATTTTAGAACCTGCATAACAAGCCAAAAAGACAATGCAGTTTGGGCTGAGATGATAATAAGACAGCCTTTTATACAATCCACTTTGGACCTACACCCCATAGTTGGGTTTGAATTGTCCTTGTGAGTAGATGTTAGGTGCACAGGAGGTCCCTTGACAAGAGTGACCAACAAAGCCCCACAAACACAAAGCATTGAACCCAACACCATAGCCACTCCATGCCATTGAGTTATTGAAAAGCTTTCCACCCTGAAAATATATATACATATATATATATATGACCCAAAAATTTCATTTTCTTAATTGAGTTTTATTTGGTTTAAGGATTTGACAGATAGTAGTAAAGGAATTTGTAAAGAGAAAAAGTGGATAAAATAAAAGTTAAATTTTTGTCACATTTATCTTTTCTTTTTCCTATCATTCTACAAATTCATTCTCAAATTCTAGATCCAAACATAAGTTTAGGAAAATTAAACTTTTCACCTTTAATTTTTATTTTTAAATTTTACTTCGGTCCTCACCTTCTCCGACTTCAACCTGGATTTTATTGTGATTATCTCATCACTCCCACCATATAAAATTTGAGTGAAAATTGAAGTATGAAAGACCAAATTAAAATTTGTATGAAAATTAGTGTAAAAAATATATAATTTTGGCTTATAATTTGGTTTTTGTTTTTGTTTTGTTTTATTTTTTGTTTTCTAATACCTCCAAAATATGCTTACTTTTTTGCCAAGACTTTAAACGATTAATGTCAGGAGAATCACGTTAAAATATGGGTTAAATTTAATAATTTAATTGTTAAGATTAAAAGACAATGAATGAAAATAAAATTGAGATAAAAGTTAGTAGGTGAAAATTGTAATTTACCCATTTCAATTTTTTAGGCATCTCTCTTTCTTCCATATACGTACCTTAAAAGAATGGCAAGGACAAAGGTAATGGCAGGAATCGCATTAGAAGTTGCGGTAACGAATGTTGCAGGGATGTAATTCAGTGATAGATTGAAGAGATTTATGCACAATGTAATCCTGAAAACAACATTGTAATTTGTATTAGATAAAAATTATTGATATATATATATATATACATATTAGTGGTAGGTGCACACGTGTGCACCTAATTTAGCAATAGAGTGGATGAATAGAAGTCATTTATGAAATTTTAAATATATAAATTAGTTTTCTTATGGCAATTTCCTGCTATTAATAGTTATCAAACTGTCGGGTATTTTTGAGAAAAAAAATCGTGATAGAAGAAACATCTATATACCAATTCAAGAAAAATTCTACGTACGTAACAAAATGAGCTCATTACACCCCAATTTTTTTTTTTAAAATATTACACATTTGCTCTTTTTCAAAATTACCAAAAGCCTCCTAAAATCCTATCCCTAATTTCTCACAATCATCTCCATCACCTACACCATTGACACTGGTACTGCCACTGCCACCGGTGACTCCCCTTCCCATCGCTGGCGAGCCACTACAAAAAATTCAGATTTTAGGGACTAAAATTTAGGAACAAAATTATTTTTCAGGAACCAACTATTTTTGTTACAAAAAGTGTCGTTATTATATTTTTAGTAACAAAAATTAGACATTAGTGATGAATTATTATCCTTTTAGGACCAAATTGTTTGTCTAAAAAAATAAATCATTTTGAGACCAAATTATTTTGTTCTTAAAAGTCATTAGTGACATTCTCAAAATTTTGTTGCTAAAAGCCTTGTTTTTTATTTTTCGAAACGACCTTTTAGCGACTACCCCCATGACGATAGAAATTGGTTCCTAAATACCTATTGCAACAAAATTTTCACTTTTAGAGACCAAAATATTTGGTCTTTAAAACTATTATATGTGCTATAATAGAATAAATATAGGATAAATTACACTAATGTCTTTTGAGATTTTAAGAAAATATAGTAAACTTCTACAAGTTTGGCATATTTACATTGGTTCCCTTAAAGTTTTAATTCACATAATACTTCACCCATTTTTATTAATAATTCGTTAGTAATATAGATGGAAAAAATGATAATCTTATCTCTTTTACACTAAAATGTATATTAATTTTGGTTCCTTTAACTTTACTAAAAAGGAGATTGATGTAATTATGCTAAAATTATGAAAATTGCTATATTTTTTCCAAACTTGAAGAGAGGTTAGTATAATTTACGCATATGTAGTGGTGAACCTGAATCTTAGTTGCACGAAGCGGGAGCGGGGGCAGGAGCAGGAGCGGGGGAACGTGGCCACTTAGAGGAGTCGTAAATTAGGAGCGCTTATATATTATTTTTATTAATTATATTTTATTTATTGTAATAAATTATGTTCAAATAAATAAAAAATAAAAATTAGGTCTTTTATTTTATAAATTTTTTAACTTTTTTTTTTATTATATATGATTTAAATAGATTTCTTTTAAATAATTAGATGATTTATTTTATTTATTATATGTTAAAAAGTTAGGAATAATAAATTTTAATAAATAATTTTTTATTTTAGACAGAAGAATTATATTATCAATGACAAATTATATTATATATGATAAATATTATATATATTAAATATAATATATTATATTATATTATATATATATGATAAATTATATTTATATTATATAATATAAAACGGAGAGGGAGAGGGAGGGAGAACAGAGATCGAGAAAGAGAGAGAGAGAGAGAGGGAGAACAGAGACGAGAGAGGGAGACGAACAGAGAGACGAAGCAAACAGAGGCAAAGAGAGACGAAGAGGAGATCGAGACTGAGAGAAGAGAGAGCGACAAAGACAGTCGAGATCGACCATGAGAGAAGGTCTCAGCCCTAATCGCGATTCTTTCGCATTAGAAGCGCGACTCTCTCGTATTAGAAGCGCGATTCTTGCGCGATTCTTCCTTGGAAGCGCAAAATCGCGCTTCTTCCTCAGAAGCGTGAGTCCCTTCCACGATTCCTGCTACTAAGCCATGAATACGAATTTATTTTTGGAACTAAAGTAAATTGAAATAAAATTATATAAATTACGTAAAATTTTTGGGACTAAAATATTAATTAATTAATTAATTAATTTTTTTTTATTGATAGGGGAAAAACATAAAAAAAACTAAGTACGCAGAACATCCGAGTAAACAAGAGCTAAACATCTTCTATCCATACTCTCGCATCTTCAAATACCAATTTATTTTAAAATCATTCAAAAGTGCATGAAAATAATGAGATTTTCAAAGGTTTGGAGTGCCTGAAATACTAGTTTATTTTATAATTATTAAAAAATGTATGAAAATAATGAAAAGAATTCAAAATTTTGGAAAGTAAAGGTAAAATTATTTAGATTTTATAAGGATTAGAATAAAAATATACAAAATTTAAAGGGTCAAATACAATTTATTTTTTTATTTTTTTTTATAATTAATATTCAAAATTACAAGATAGACATGAGATTTTCAACCCCTCCGTCCACCACTATATGAGTCTGTTGAACTAAAAATGTTTTCCATGGAAACAAACAAGACAAAATATTAATCTAACATTTTGTCATTGACAGGAAGAATAAAATACATACCCACTCATAGCAGCCAAGAAGATCTTGCAGAGTAAGTTGAATGACAAGGGAGCTGAGTTCTTTCTGCAGATGTTAAAGGGCAAAAAAAAAAAAAATTAATTGATATATGTGTTGTGACTTTTTTTTTTTATATATAAATTAAAATACATATAAAAACTTATTTCATGAACTGTTTTCATGAAAAATTTCTGAAAACAATAAACTTTGTACGAAACATCAAAAAGTTGTTTCTATTTTTTGAAACAGATAAAAACGACGAGTGTATTTTTATTCTAAAAATGATGGGAAAAAAAAAGAAAAAAAAAAGGAAGCATATTCAAAACTAATTTCCAACAAATTTATATATATATATATATATATATATATAAAACCTGACTTTTAAGGAATGATAAAAAGTTGTTTCAAATCTTCAAAACTGTTGAAAATGAAAACGATGAGTGTTTTCAAACATTTCATTGTTTTTGTTGGTGGAAACACAAAAATGAAAACAAAAAACTAAAAAAAAAAAAATGATAACAAAAGGAGGGTGAGGGGGAAAAAAAGAAGAAGTGATTTTTTAGAGGGGGAACCTCTCAAGGAAGAAAGAAAAAGGAGCCAAGGCAAGAGTGGCAAAAGCTTGGCGATAAGCACCGAAGACATAAGGGTTCATTCCATTAGCAATGGCTACTTTGGAGAACAAGACAGTCCCTGCAAACACCAAATTGCTTAGGATCATGCATATATATGGTAGGTTGCTCTTCATAAACTCCACACACCTCTTCATGTTTCACTCTCTTTCTCTCTCTGTCTTTCTATGGTTGCTGCTGTTCCTAGGAGATCTCTAAGGTTGGATGTAGTTTTGTATTGGTGGGCTGTTGTTTGGGTTTTGTATTTTTTTTTTTCTTTTGGAAAATGATATTCAGTCCGAATCAGACTGAATCCTTCTGAAGTGTACTTACCAAACTCATTCCATTAAAAAATGATATAAACATCAATTTTTTAGATTCAATGATCTTAAACAAATTGATTGGTTGATCAGAGGACAAACGAGAGAGAGAGAGTTGATTTAAATATTTTAATAGAGTGTCACATTTAGGCCTCGTTTGGAAACATGCTATTTTAGTAATTTTTTTACTTTTTACGAAAAGATGTGCAAAAAAAAAGTAAAGAGCTGATGTGACAACTTTTAATAACTTTTTTTTGACTTTTTAATTAAAATAGTCACTCCCTAAACAAGGCTTAAGTTTAAAAAATAGGTCTAATTTTTTTTAGCTTAAATAGTAATACTCATTGCTTAATGCTTTCTCAGTTCCACAATGTTAACCAATTAAAGTGAGAAATGATAGTCAGAGCTAGTCAGATGTCGGAGTGTGTGGCATTGCTATTTTTGTTTTGGTTGATCGCTTGCCAACTCTTGGTATAGTGCTAAAAATGATAAGGCTTATATTTCGATACTACCCCAGAAAGGATGGATAGGATGGATTTGTATTGGTGTGATGTTTTTGCACTTGTAGATAGGGTTGGGTCCAGATCTTTTGTCATGATTTCCTGTCATGATTCTTGTGGTACAATAAAACGACGTCGTTTTATTTTATTTTATTTTATTTGTTTTTTTTTTTTTGGTGTCCCCCTTCTTTTCCTCTTCTCTGTCATTTGCTTTGTTTTGTTCCTCACCTAACCAACAGAGAGACGAACTGAGAGAGAGACAAACCCAGCAAGCAAATCATGTTTTCCTCTTCAATAAACAACATGGAATTAAAAGCAATACTGTTAATATGTTTTACTTCGCAGAAAAATAAAAAATGATTTGGTAATGAATATTTTTTTTTCAAGTTCAGACCCATTTCCCCACAGTTGAATTGAGTTCGAAAGGAATTCTATATTTTTCTCAGAAAGGGAATAGATTTGAGGGAAGAAGAGGAAATTTTTTATTCATTTTCAAATCATTTCTTCGGCAGATCTAATTTGTGTTTTTTACCAGGTGAAGCCAAAGTCGATCTTCTTCCTTTTTTTCAAAGTTCAGACCCATTTCCCCTTTTGGATCCTTCTATCCCTGTTCAAGCAGCTTAACCCAACACACACACACATACACACACACATGCTCGTCACATAGAAAAAATCTTCACCAAGTATTTTCATATTTATCAAATATTTCATCTGTGTATCTTCAGAAACGCATGAACTCGAAAACCCTCCGTGCATTCCGAAAACGTTCGACGGTTTAGTCCATCTCTCACATGTACAGTTTCATACATGAATTTCTGGGTTACACCCAGGATCAAAATCAAAGTTAAATTTGCTTCACAGACCCGAATCGAGACCCAGTACCATCGCCTCACCTCGCCTCTCCGTTGCCTCGCCTCTTCGTTTCATTTCTTTGTTCTTGCTCCGTCGGGGTGGGTTATGATTTAGCCTGAGAGAGAAGAAACCAAGGGGAAAGGGGAGGAAGAAAATAAAATAAAAAAAAGTGACCAAAACGACGTCGTTTGGTACCACAGTAGGAAGCATTACAGGAAGCCACGGCAGAGAATCTGGACTCCATAGGGTTAAGTGTCACTGTTGTGCCTTTAGCACATCAGTGACTGTTGTGTCTCAATTTGAGGTGTATTATGAGCTTATTTTTATGATCCAAACCGATTATTTTGTAGATTTTGTTAAGTACTTTGTGCCTACCAAAAATCATATTAATCGGATATCAATAACTATATGATCGATAATCAAGAAAATAAACAATAAGTTTTTCTTTTGAGAAATAGTATACAAAATATGCAATTTGATCATATAGTTATTAATATCCGATTAATATGATTTTTGATAGGCACGGAATATTCAACAAGTCCTACAAATGAACAGTTTGGATCATAAAAATAATCTCATAATATACCTCAAATTGAGGCACAATAGTTATTCTTTGTAGGATACAAAATATGATCGATAATCAAGAAAATAAACAATAAGTTTTTCTTTTGAAAAATAGTATACAAAATATGCAATTGGATCATATATTTATTAATATCCGATTAATATGATTTTTGATAGGCATGAAATATTTAACAAGTCCTACAAAATGAACAGTTTGGATCATAAAAATAATCTCATAATATACCTCAAATTGAGGCACAATAGTTACTGCTGTACTAAAAGCACAGCAGTGACCCTTAATCCTTGCATATAATATTAATTTTTTTTGGTAATAAAAAAATAAAGGGCCTAATATTTGGAGATACACAAAATCTCTTAAAAGTTTATAAAAGTGAAATCTAGCTGGCTAGAACCCAAATTCAACTTAGTTAACTAATTACTTAATTAATTTGTTATTGTTTGAATGGTTAGAGTTGTACATAAATTTAATTTTTTTTTAGTATAACTAAATTAATTAATTTTTTAAAATTAAACTGTATTTATATTTTTTTTATAAAATTATTAATAATATCAAAATAAATAATTTATGTAATATGAAAGAAATAATAATTGAAGAACTGATGTACCACTACAATAGCCTTTATAATTTCTCAATTAGAAAATAAAAATGTAAAGTTTTATGTTGTGAAATTTGTATATATATATTCTCTATGATCTAATTTAAATTATTTTAACATCATCTAATAACTAATAATTTATATATATGTAATTTGGGTTTCGAGTTATTTGATGTGGTAAAGTCTCCTTAAATTTAATTTATATTTCTAAATTTTTACCTAAATATGTATTAAATTTAAAAATATTTTATTCAAATGCTAAAAAGATTTAGACTAAACTTAGATTGCTCGGATTTTTTATTTTTTACATTATCAAAAATGATTTTTTTCCCGAATTTGGCTCCCCTAATCCCCCGAATGCCCAAAACAACGTCGTTTTGGGCATTCTTTTTTTTTTTTTTTTTTTTTTTTTTTTTTTTTCTTCTTCTTCTTCATGCAGCTCAAGTCTGAGACAGAGGGAGAGGGAGAGGGAGAGGGAGAGAAAGAGAAAGAGAAAGAGGGAGAGGGAGAGAAGAGAGCTCGTCGCAGCAGCTTGTAGATCGTCGGCGATCGTCAGCTCGTCGCAGCTCCGATTGTAGCAGCAGCAGCTCATCGCAGCAGCTCCGACCGCCGTCGCCTCCGCCTCCTCCTCCCCTGTGATTATGGCCCCCTCCAGTTCCTCCTCCTTCCTCCTCCTTCTTCTTCCTTCTTCTGTTGAAAAAAAAAAAGAAGGAATTCGGGGCATTCGGGAGAGCTCAAATTCGAGCTCCCAATCAGTTCTCTTACATTATATATATCAATCAGAGATTATTCGGGTTCAAACCATCCAAATTACAGTCCCTAGAGCTAGAGTTGATGTAATGAAGTCAAAAAGTCAAACTGCGAGGTTGTTGTGGTAACGGTAGGATGCCGAAAAAGAAACTTTTGCTTCTTGGTGCGCCAAAAACCGCACCCCAAGAGTACCTTCCTAGGTTACCTTCCTAGGTTAAATATGAGTCCGGATCCTCGGCCACCCTACCCGGCGGCTCTTTCCAGCAGCGCCCCAAAACGACGTCGTTTTGGGGCCCACGAGATTGCTGAGTAAAGAATCGACCACGAGATTGCTGTGAAAACTGACCTCCTCTGCCTCCTTTAGAGAAAAACCGACCTTGTGAACCACGGGAATAACCAGAAGAACCAGTCTGATTTGAACGGAATCCTCGAGCAGCAGAGAAAGCAACATTAGGTTGCTCAATAAGAGATGATTTTTGTGTTTTAAATTCAACATGAATGGATTCGGAACAAAGCAAGGCACACAATTCATCCATGGAAATGCCTTCTGATCGTGCTCGAATTGCAGTCTTAAATGAGTCATACTCATCGGGAAGGCCATTCAATGTGATTAACACAAGATCTTCATCGTCAACCACAGCAGATGCGAGTGCTAATTGATTTGACAATTCCTTGATCTGAGTCAAATACTCCTCCATGGATGCACCTTTCTTGGACACAGTATTCAATTTATTTTTGAGTTGATGAATGTGTGACCGAGAGAGAATGGTGAATCTCTTGATTAAGGCATTCCAGACTTCATAACAGTGTTTAAACTGTACAACAGTGGAATAGATTGGAGAAGACAGGGTTGCCGTAAGACAACTGAGCAAATGTGCATCTATGAGATCCCACTGAACTCGTGTGGGATTAGAGATTTCAGATCCAGAAGAGTCCTTGATCTGTGCTGGTGGACATGGAATCGATCCATCGACATAGCCAATCAAACCAGTGGCTCTTAACATATTGTGGATTTGATTTCTCCAAATCAGAAAATTTGAGGCATCAAGCTTCACTGTTACAAATGAGGATAGATTGGAGATGAGAAGTATCAGATTTGGAGGCAAGATAGTGGAAGAAGCTGAAACAAGCGAATCAGCCATGGAATCCAAAGATCAATGCTTGTTAGAGCTTAGATGCTCTGATACCATGTGGAAACTAGTAAACTGATTCTTATTTCAAATGTATGAGCTAAGCTCATATATATACAATAACGAATGATCTGTTATGATCTGTAACAAGCTATAACAAACTAACAAACTACTAACAAATTTATTAACTGCATAACAGAATTACTAACTAACTAACTAGATGTCTAGATATTTTCTGCAATAGAGGTTGCTTTAACAGTTGCTTTAACAAATAATAAGATTGAGCATGAGATTATTAATTAAATAAAAAATAATTTTATATTATATTAAAATAATTTTAATAATTTTTTAAAAAATAATTAAGATTGAGCATGTGATCACACTTATATAAAATTTATATAGATATATAAATTAGATTAATTAAATATTTGTAAGAGATCACACTTATTTTAAACAAAATTAAACAATTGGTATAATTTTAATATTTTTTTAAAAAATAATTAAGATTGAGCATGAGATTATTTATTTAAATTTTTTAATGAATAACAAACTCGATAAATTTTACAATATAAATGATTCAAATTATCAAAAAATGCTTGAGATATATCCCTATGGGGTCTCAGATCATGGGTGCTAGCGCAACACCAAT